AGTGGTGACTGAAATGACTCGAAAGCAATGCCTGTCTATGTGTGTGTCATACCAAGTCATAGCTTACTCATTGTATTTTGCTTATTGCAGTCATGTTGAACCACTGAATTCACCTAGACACATATTAGCAGTCACATTAAATGTATAAATCATGAAAAATCCAAAAATTAAAAATTAATTCATACAAACAAATGTAATTTAATAATCATACGAAGTATATAAACTTTAATAATAAACCAAATTAATACAAAAATATGGTATTATATAATATTATAATTTATAATAATCAGTAAATGAATTTAGTATTGTGTATTAAACGTAATGTTAAATGTATTGAAAAAGTAGTAATTCTTACAAAAAACATAAAAATTAAACACAAATTAATTATTAGGAAACTAATTGTCATATTATAGGGTACTCGTAGACATGGACACAGGATCTGATCGTTTTCCTGTAATCCGTTGTAAGCAACTGTACCACCACTGCTGGACATACCCTCTGCAGTCCTCCCTTAATTGCTACAACTCTATGACCACCACTGAGACAAACACCAGGAATATGATCCTCAAACCGATTGCCTACGCAATCATCAGCCAACCTATAAGACAATTAAGACGTTAGACAATGACATAAATGATACTATCAATGGATCTTAAGATGTCAGTTACTCGGCTGCTATCAATCTGCAATAGTCGGCCAATTGGTTGATCTCAGAGCCATTGCATTTGTGGCGCACGTGTCCAACGATACAGTCCTTCAGGTGTTTGAATGCACAACAATAGTCACGACTTGGGTTGGCCTCCAGGGGCTGGTATTTCGGGTATCGGAGATCTCGCATGAAAATGTTGCCACAAATAATGATGTCGTAAATAGAAGTGTTAACGCAGAGGAATGGGTCACCATTGACCGCAATGGGCGCGCATATTATCATTGCTATGATCAGTGATGAACACTTCATGGTAAGGGTACGGGTGGTGAGGATTTTTGGTGATCACGTTGTGGTGATATGTATGTAGGAAGTGGTGATTGATATGACTAGAAATCAATGGCTAAATGTCTGCCTCTACTTGTTATACGATGCTATAGTTTACTCATAGTAATGATATGAATTCACCAAGGCACGTCTTATCGCAATTTGTCAACAAACAGGATATTGTCTACAATTTCTTGATAAATCAATAGTTGTATAATATTTCACAAAAAAAGTTACCGTCTCATTTTAATTTATAAAGTCATTAATTTATTAAGCATGTTACATTAAATTCAAATATTTATCAGTAAATCTAATCAATATATCAAGTGTAATGATAACATTATAATGTAAAAAGTATTACCAAAAATTTCTTAGAAAATACTATGTTATGTTCATACAAAAACACAATAATAATAATAATTAGCCGGCACATTATATGCATAAATCATAAAATACAAAAATTACAAATTAATTCATACAAACAAATGTGATTTATATGCACACAAAGTATATAAAGTTTATATTATAAACTGCTATAATAAACTAATAACAAGTTTTATATTATATAATAATAATTAGTAAATCTAATTAGTATTGAGTAGTAAACGTAATGTTAAATGTATTGAAAATGTAATAATTCTTACGAAAAACATACAAAATAATTATAAGGAATCCTTATTAAATACATTAATTATCATATTAGGGGTACTTATAGATACTGTGGCCAACCGTCCAGGTTTGACCTGGACTGTCCAGGAATTAGGGTATCTGTCCAGTGTCCAGAGCAAGGTCTCACCTGGACAATGTAATGTCCAGGAATGGTAGGAAAGAAATAATACCATAAGGTTTTTAATATTCTTAGGCAAATTGAATAAATTAATGATAAGGCCTTAACTTAATTTTGAGTAAATACTGAAATCTTAAGTTTTATTTTAATTATTAAAGATTAATTTAGTATTTTTATATAAAAAATATATGATTAAATAATCCGACACATTACTTTAGATATACTTTATCAGATATATCAATTATTAGAATATTATTTAACATTATTATAATTATCATTTATTTCACAAGAATTATTATTAGTCTATTAATTATATGATATTATTTTAAGGTTATGAGTATTTTTGATATATCTTATGCGATGATTCTAACATTTGTTGTACAATATTATTGTATATCATTTGTAAGTTTAAAATTATATTCACATATAAATTTTTTTATTTTAAATAATTATTCAATATATAGCTAAAATAATTTGCGTTATACAGTATTTAAATGTAAGCTAAATCTATACACTGAAGTACTAAAATAATTTTATTTATAATTTGTATGTTAATTCTGGACAAAATTAAAATTGTATATATAGTACCAAATATTGCTTAAAAGTTTACGTCCAGGATTGTCCAGGAATTTTAACAAATATTTACATTAAAATCAAGGACTTTAAAATTTCGAGTTGGTCACACTACTTATAGACACCAAACCTAATCAGAAGTTTTGTTCAGATTCTGCACTACCTCTGCGGACATCCTCTGTAGTCATCACTTGATCGCCAAAACCATAGGATCACCGCAGAGACCATCACCAGGAATATGATCGTCAAACATATCGCCTCCGTAATCAACAGCCAATCTAAGAGACAATTAAGACATTAGACATGATATAATAGGTACCATCAATGGATCCTAAGATATCTGATACCCGGCTGACACATTACAGTGCCTCGAAAGCCACTGTAATGAACGCAATGATCCGTTGATAGTCTGGACACGTTTCTCGCGATACAGACATACGTGTTAACCATTATATCGATGGCTGTACTGTCACCGCATTTGTCGCCCACGTGTTCAACGAAACAGTCCCTCAGGTGTCTGTATGTACAGCAATAGGCGCGAGTAGTCTCGTATGACTTCAGGACCAGGTTGCGATAAATCTGCAGCTCATCGATACATGCATTTAAAGCCCTATATTCATCCAGGGCCACCCTGCACTGTGGGTGTTCATTTGCCACCCTGTTTAAATCATCCATGATCCTGCTGAACTCTAAGCCCATGATAATTATGGTAAAGGCTTTTGTGGTGATCAAGTTGTGGGGAAGTGTATGTGAGAAGTGGTGACTGAAATGGTTAGCAGTCAATAGCTAAATGAATGCCAGTACTTGTCATACGATGCCATAGTTTACTAATAGTAATGATATGTCACGGAATTCATGAAGGCACGTCACATCGAAATTTGTCAACAAACAGTATATAGTCTACAATTTCTTGTTAAACAAAAAAGTTATATCATATTTCACTTATACAAAAAAAGTTACTATCACATTTTAATTTTAATCATTAATTAATTTATTAAACAAATTACATTAAAATTTTAACACAAAGTATTTATCACTAAATGTAATCAATATATAAAATGTAACGTTAAATGCATTATAAAGTATAAAGTATTACCAAAAAAATCATAAAAAATACTATTTATATAACAAACATTGAGATTACGGGTACTTATGGCCGGGTATCTGTCGCTCGGGCACGACCAGCATCTGCGTCGAGTAACTCCTTCGGCCACCACTTGATCCACAACAACAGCATCGGATTACTTGACAACAGGCCGTCAGACATATGAACAGCAGTCCGATTGCCTCCACAATCAACAGCCAATCTGTGAGACAATTAAGACATTAGCCTATCATATGACATGATATTATCACAGGTCTGATACCCTGCTGACACAAAACAGTGCCCACATATCCCGTGAATGTATCGCAATCGTCGGATGAGACGGATATGTCTTTGACTGTATCGACCACTGATGAGACCAATTGGTCGACCACTTCATCCTTACGGTCGCCGCAGTTGTCGACGTTGTCTACGATACAGGTCTTGAGATGATTGAAGGCGCAACAGTAGCCTCGGGCGTTGTACGCCTTGAGGGCCTCCACTTCCGACTCCCGGAGCTCATGGATGAAAGTGTCGGCACATTTGCCGAGTTTGGGCGCAGACATGACGGTGCAGACGGTAGACGAGACCAGTTTGAACACGTCGTTGAAGTCGACGGCAGTCACCACGACTGTCCACTGGATGATGGCTATGATAGCCAGGCGTATAAATCTCATCCTGGTGAGTTTTGTGGGTATAGTTAGCACTAACTTAGCAGTTTACTGTATGTAATAGTGGTGAGTTTGTTGCTGGATACAAGTGTGAATGTGATATACTGCTGTAGTGTATGAGTTTGTAAATTATGGTATGTTTTTAAGCTATCAATGGGAATGTTATCATAAATTATGCAAATGATTGGTTTAGCAAAAAGTTTAATGTTCAGCAAAAATAGTTTTATCTCATTTTTCAGGTATCATGTGTCAGTTTTGAATGATCCTGATATTAAATTACGTTAGTGACTAAACCCGTAGTCTACTGTTTTGAGATGCGCACCGGGGTCAAAATATGTTTGAAATATTTATAAGTGTTGAAAAGTTATGAAAGTTTTGTGATTATTAAAATATATTGCAATTTAAATAAAGTCAATTTCACGTAAGGATCAGTAAATATTACTGTGTCAAAACAGGTTTAAGATATTGAACTGTCAAAAATAACAACTGTCCAATGCTGTGGTTCAAAGGTTAAACCTGGATTAATTTTGGTTTCGACCCCTTTTGTTTACTGATCCTTACGTGAAATTGACTTTAGAGATTTTTAATTATAAACAGTAATAGTAAGTAATAATTTCAAAATAATTTATTAATAAAGTTATTTTAAAAGTAAAACATTTAACTGCAATTATAAATTACATAAAAAATTTCTGACTCATAAAATTAGATTATAATTAAAATAAACACTAATTTCATATAAAGTTATATAAAAATATTTATGAAACTAAAAGTCGTGTTTAATGTAATAAAATGGTTTTTAATTTTTTTGTTTTATTTCGACATTGTTAATCACTGTATTTATTTAATTAAATGTTTATACGTATTTGGATAAGCAATAAAAGTATGCATATACATTATTTTTATAGTTTAATTGATTTTTGCTTAATTTAATAAAAATTAACTAGACCACACTTATCATAAACAAGCGATTATAAATAATAATTAAAAACAATTATTTATTTATTTTCACTGATATTACAAATAAATATTGAAAATTAAACTAAAAAACAATTTATTTTTAAAACCTTGTACACATATTCAATTATAATTTTAGTTTTAAATATATTTGAAATATAATATATGTTTAACTTACACACAGTATAGTTTACTTTTAATATAGCATGCTAAGTGTTATATAAACAAAATAAAATAATTTTGACTTGAATACCATAAATATTTGTATTGAGTTTTGTGTGTTATGTTTAAAATATGAGTCCAATATTGGCTAACAAAATATGATAGTTTAATATTTTACATAATGTTAGGTAATAAATATTTTATTACAATATAAAGGGCGTTCAGACATAGCCTTGAATTTTATTTGTTAATTTTCAATTTTACTAAAATCTGAATATTTTTATAATAATTTAGATTAAATTCCTTTAATTAAATAAATTATAATTTGTTTGTTATTTACGAATGGAAAAAAAAACTAAAAATATCTGTAAATTAATTTATTTTTCATACATTTCTATACATAAAACCATGAATTTATTGATTTATTTTTCACCGACACTTACGGGTACTTAAAAAACCTTAAATAAAATTATTATAACTTTATATTATTTTTATATTAATATAATTATATAACAGTATTAATCTTGATCCGATTAATTTATAAAGTAATTTATTGCATGACAAAAAACTACACAAACTTATGAAATGCTAAATAATTATGAAAAACAAAACCTAAATCTAATGATTGTGTTTACCATTAGAAAGCAATTACAGGCCTTTTGGGGTACCGTTGAGTAGGCGTCTCATCCAACTCGCAGATCTCGTCAATCGTCTCAATATTATAGTAATTATTACTATAATTAAAATAATTAATATGCGATTGAATGCTATCCCTTCGTTGCGCACTTTTGCTACCTTTCCCCTCGCTATTAGCCTTATTATGCCTATTCTGGTGGTGCCTGATATGCATGATGTCAGAGATGGCATACTTGATGGCGTGCTCCTCGATGTAGTTGAATAGGTAGAGGATTATGATAATCGCTGTTAACACGGATGGCATTAGTATTGATCCGTATTTGAGGCTAACTGTCCACACGAATGCCATCAATAGTAAGTGCATTACAGGAACTGTATGTTGAGAAATGAGAGGTGAATATGTGGTTTGAATGTAGGGATAGGTAGGGAAAGGGTATATGACTTACTCGAGTAGTTTGGATGTTAGGGTGAGTTTAGGAAAGGGGGTATAAATTGGGTATAAATGTATGGATGACTTACTCATACACCTCATGAACCCCTCCTTACAGAAACGGCGGATGTCCTCCTCGGATATGTATTCCCAGATATTGTCGGTGAGGCGAGGCTTGACCTCCAGTTCCTCATTAGATGGTGGTTTCCAGTCCAGGAATATTAAACTCATGTGTTTTTGTTTTATAATTTGTTTTTTGTGTCAAAAAAGTTATAAATAATAGTTACTAATTAAATGGGACTTTAGTTTTTATAGTAATATATTGTTT